TCAGAAGGGGTATTTCTTACAGGCCTTGCGGATCAGCATCAATGCGTTGACGAATTTTCACACCACTTTCACGATTGTCGTCCAAATGGTCTGATTGTCTTCTTCGTTCGAGTTTCATCTCTACCTTTGGGGGGTTGGGAAGGCTCGAAGTCAAGTCCAGCTCTTCAGGTGTTGGACTGACATGAATGTCGGTATCAGAATGAATAATAGGGGCGGCATGGGCGGCTATGGGATCTTGGGTAGCGTAAGTGGATTTCGCGGGTAGGATAGCTCCGAAATTTGAGCTGAGCTGAGGTCTTTCACTGTCTTGAGCAGCCATGAGCTTTTGAGTTAAGTGTTTGACTTTCTTGATTTGAGCGTCTTGTTCGGCTTGAAAAGATTTCTTGACTTCTTTGGCTTGTTTGACCTTATGTTTATAAGATTTGTTCAAATTTGAGGCTACACTAGCAGTGCTCTTGTATATCTCAGCAATTTTACGAAATAAACCTTCGTCTTCATCAGCATGATGTAATAATTGCCGATTGTAGCTGGCAGAAATGCGATGCGTCTCTTCCTCTAATTTGGCTGCTTCGATAGCTTGGTCGACTCTATGTGGATGAATTTTCTGAGGATTGTGATTGTTGTCGAGATGCTTGATTTCGTCGACTACGCCGCGGGATATGATTTTTTCGATCGAAACGGGTATGGCTTTTTCAGCGGCTTCTTCCATTTTTAATTTGTACTCAGCGGAGTTCTCCAAACGACTGACGGCTTCATTGGCTTCTTTCATTCCTGATACGTGCTTAGCAACGTTCTCCGAACGACTAGCAGCTTCATTGGCGGAGTAATCAGCGTATTTGGAATAACGCTCGTTGCGTATATCGCTTTCCTTTTCCACTTTTAAAGCATCAGCTTCCATCCGTTTATAAGCCGTGAGGATGTTTTTTGCTCTAACAAGATTGAAGTTGACTTGCTCGAGTTTTGTAATAGCGTCTTCAAGTTTCTTCCGGAGAATTTGGCTCCCTTCTCTACTTGGGGTGGCAGAAGTGCCAACGTGTTCTCTGACCGGAACCATCTCTCTTAAGTTATTCTCAAGTTTCATCTCGGCTTCTCTTAAACGTAAATGTAAGTTAAGAACAACTCTTTTTGCTTCCTTGAGCTCGATTGCATCAGCAAACCGGACGCGCTCTTCTTCATCCACTGGGGTTTCTAAATGATCTTCACTCCCTTTAAGAGATCTTCTGGGCAACGTCATTGTGTCAGAACCACCGGCTGGCAACTTGTCATGGTATTGGTATTGCGTTATCGCAGACTTGATCTGGTCAGATTTAGCAGCTGTGCGAGTGCTACTTGCGATGAAGAAAGCAGTGGCCACGTAAAATGCACTTGTAAATCTTGACTTATTGATTTTTGGGGACCCCCGATTGACTTGTTAATATTATTGCTTTTGTACCCATTCAGCATCTGATAATAGGTCCACATCGTAGCAATCAAACGCATTGTTGATTGGTTGATATTATTGTTGAGATACACATGTTAAATTGGTTAATATCATTGTTTGGATAAACATGTTTAATTGGTTAATATCATAGCTTTAAGAAACAATGATAAGCAGACATTAGATATCATTTGATTAAAAGATATTTTAATTTTGCATTGACCCATTAATTGGCGAATATTACGTGGTTAATGTGTTGTTTCACTTCCGTTTGTTATATTCTCTCATCATTTATATTAAATATGCGAAGAAAACGTAATTATATTTTCGATAGCTCTGTAATTCTTGATATTGAATTTTTGAACTCGAAAAAATTTCATCGGTGAGATAGACGACTTGTG